TTTTTAAAAATTAGCTACGACTTACCAGAATGAAATTATATCTCCTTTACTGTTCAGAGGCTAATGGTATTGTCTACGCCATTAAACATCTAAATAGGTTTTAATATCTGTTTTATTGGTGTGATTGATATGATTTTGTTCAAACATCAAAATGGAAATGTAATTGTAATTTTAAATTGAAAAAATATAATTGGGAGAATGGAAGTAATTATAATTGTAGATGGAAAAAGAGTGTAATTGCAAGTTGTAATTGACTACATTTTCACTGCAATTGATACCTGCAATGACATGACAATGTTTCAATCAGGGAACAGTTAAACACTGTTCGCTGGTTTTAAAATACTTGAAATGGATTGAAGCATCATGGCTCCCGCATTCTGGCTGTTTTTGTACTTTAAGTAAGTTAACTTATTTTCTATTTTATTTATTTTTATTTTTTTATTTTTTTAAGCGTACAGGTTTGGAATATTTTGAAATCCTTATGTTAAATTTATTTTATTTTTTTTAATTTTTTTTTTATATTTTCAATGAAAAATAAATGCGATCGTTAATATCTACCTTGGTACAATCATTGTAAAGCTGTAATCATACGACTACTTATACAGAATTTTACTACCGTATACTATAGGCATAGGCTAGGACCAGGCCTCCTACTATAGTATAGAGGCCTAGTCCAAGACCCTTGTTGCAAATCCCAGCCCACATAAGCCTAGCCTATAATGCCTATAATCATAGGGCTCGGGAATCGTGATCGCGGTACCCTGACCATTAAAAATTAGCAGACGTACTGGGAAGCGTTGTTGTTCACGGCATTGGACGGCAGCGAAAAATGATTTTCCCATCATTAATGGAACAGGCCCACGTCACGCTTGGCTGATTAGTTTTGATTTACATTTCCACAAAATCCTGGTTCTCACGAGAGCCCTATTATCCGGATCGGTAGCTAAACGTTAGCGCTAACCATTAGCACCTGCGTGTGAACGCCCGATCGGTTAGCTCTAACCGTTAGCAGTATCTGGCTACGCTATCGGTTAGCAAGTTGAGCGCGTTTTTATTATCAACCAATCACACGTACGCATTTACAATTTCCAGTTTCTTATTGGCCAGTGATTCGATCATCATAATTTTAGTATCCGGATCGGGATTTTCTCGTTTGGACACACGACAGCTAACGGTTAGCAGGATCCGGATCCTGATAACCGTTAGCAGCCATGTGGGAATATAGCCAAAATGTATTTCAAACCAGTCATGCTTGGCTGGTTTTGATTTACGTTGTGCAACAGAATTTGGAGAGGGCGTTTGATCAAGTCAGACATACGTTTTGAATGGTAGTCTCTTCTTCTTCTTCTTCTTCTTCTTCTTCTTCTTCTTCTTCTTCTTCTTCTTCTTCTTCTTCTCCTTCTCCTTCTTCTTCTTCTTTTTCTTCTTATTCTTCTTATTATTCTTCTTCTTCTTATTATTATTATTATTATTATTAGGCCTATTATTATATTATTATTAAAATGAGGCTCAGAATTATTAAAGTTTTAAATTTTAAAAAAATTGTAAAGACATTAAAATTATTATTTTCAGAACAGACCCTATAGAGTGTGTATTCCACTAAACAAGAATTGGTTAGTACCCAAATAATCAAAATATTATTGTTGCAACATGTGCTGCAGTGCATGCCACAGTTTCACTATAACAGTACTTGTTTTGAATTTAGAAATTGCCCGTACTCGCGCGAATAGGCGCCCGGGCGCTTAAAATATTTTTTGCACTTTCTGAGGGGCGCTTATTCAAACGGGGCGCTTATGAAAACAGAGAGGAAATTGAGGGAGCGCTTATGGAAATAGATGAAAATCGAGGGGTTCTTATGGGAAATTGTTAAATTCAAGAGGCACTTTTTGAATGAAAAGGCCTATATAAGGACATTACGAATGGTGGTTAGGCGGAAAAGATACCGGTAATCATCCAGAGAACATGGCTCATGACAAGAATGCTGTGAATATAACAGCAGACTAGCAGATGCTGTTGTGGTGGGTAGTGGTTAGCTTGTTGGTCATCGGCCGATTAAGATTAGCAGGATGGCAGAATCATTGTATTTTTTCTTGAAAACTCAGATGAGAATGTGCTAAAGGTCGGGAAAAGAAAGTAGGACTAGGCATAGACGAATAAGTAAAAAGAGTAAAGTTGGATATATACTGTAAGAGACAGGTTATACCACTCTCTAGGGTCTTTGTATAACTTTTCTTAAATTAATAATTTTAATGTCTTTAATTTTTTTTTTATTTAAAAATCTAATAACTCTGAGCCTCATTTTAATAATAATAATAATAATAATAATAATTTATTATTATTATTATTATTATTATTATTATTATTATTATTATTCAAAAGTGCAAAATATGCCTTAGGTCTAGCTAGAGTTAAATTATTATTATTATTATTATTATTATTATTATTGTTATTATTGTTATTATTATTATTATTATTATTATTATTATTATTATTCAAATGTGCAAAATATGCCCTAGGTCTAGCTAGAGTTAAATAGTATGGGGGCCCTAGTATCATCATGAAGAAGTATAGCTTGCCTCTATAGCCCTGAGGTCTAGGGGTAGCTAGTGATTTTTTTTTCTCGAGAATATGCTAAAATAGGCCTAGGCTCACTTCCAAATTTATACTGTAATTTAAGCCTAGAAATAAATTATTGTGCGTAGACTTAGGCCATAGGTCTGATTATTATTGTATATTAATATTACAAGTTAACCTTCTTTTGCATAATTTGCGTCTTGATGTCCAGCAACAAATCTAGATGCACAATGTCTCTTTCCCGTATGTTTTTCTACTTTGCTATTATGGCATGCACTACCTCAAACAGGCCCTTTTCACGAATCGGTAGACATCTTGTGATGTAAAGTGATGAATCAGCGGTGCGTAACCAACATAAAATAAGATAAGCTTTTGGGCCGATTTTCTGACATCATGTTATTTTTAAAAGCATAACTCCATAACGGGGCGTCGTATCCAAAAACTTTTTCCTGCAAAATGTTCTTAAAAGACTAGTCTACACCACTATATGTTTGAAAAAAAAATTAAAAATGTTTTTGACCTCTGAAATCAAGATGGAAAAAGAAAGAAACGTAGTGTATTAAAATAGGCCTAGATGCATTACAGTGCAGTAGCATTTGAACTACGTTTTGAAAAATTAGAACTTCATTTTGGGAAACTAGATCTACATTTTGAGAAATTTACGCCTACGTTTGATAAATTAGACATTGAATTTTGCAAGTACATTTTGATTTTAACAATGACATTTGCTGCGTATGGCGCCCCATAGAAGACTTTTATTTTTAGTATAGTGATGAAACTTTGGAATTTCCAGATTGAAAACATACGGTCGAAGAAATAAGGCAATTTAGACAGGTAAGTCAAATTTCAAAATGTCCACTTTTCAAAACCTATTATTTCACAAAATCGTAGGCCTGCAAGATGTACAGGACAAACGTTCAGGCCCCCCAAAAAAACCCTCCAGGTCTCTGCCCCTGGACCACTAAATTTCAAAAGGTCCACTTTTTAGCCCACTCTCTGAGAGAGAGAGAGAGAGAGAGGGCCCCCCCCCCACCCACTTTTGGACAGCTCTGGATCCGCCCCTGAAAACTACAATCAGCATGCTAAACCACTCAGAGAACATTATAAGGAACAAAGTGTAAGAGTACTGGATTACAAAACCAAGAAATGGAAACCTGCGTTAATAGATGGACCAAGTGGTCAACCCATGGAGGTAAACAAATTTTATACCTCCATGGTCAACCTAGATCATATTTTCTGACTACATCATCAGGAGCCCAGTATCATAGAAATCGGCGACACATACGCACAACTGGTGAGAGTTTCCAGAATACGCTGAAGGATGATATACAGGACATCATTGGTGAGCCTTGACACACCAAATGAGTCAAGAAACACACCACCATGATCAGCTGAATTACCTAAGGTAATACCTAGCTGTGACCGGGCAAAGCACTCGATACATCACTAGATCTGGCCGATCTGTGCATCAACCAATGCGCTCGACTTATAAGTAAAATTTAATAAATCACAACTCTTATGCAGTATACAATAACCTAATATCTTTAAACCTTAACAAAAAAAATATTGGAGCACATAAAAATAAATATGCATACTATAATGGACAATAATACTCAGGTATGCAATAATTAGTGAATATAATAATGAACCACGTAGATTAGATAAGTAGTGATCATCATTTATGCAAACAGCATACAGTTAGTAATAGTTAGAAGTTGACAAACACTAAAGAAGGCAGATGTCACAGTATTAAGATACTGTACTGTACTGTACTGATTTAATTAATAACTTGTTTGCTGCCACCTATGTTGTTTTGACTTTTGACCAAATAAAACGCTTCCATTGTTAGTATTATTACATATGCATGATTATTTATTACTGTGTTTTGATCTACAAGTATCCACTTGACGATTCACCATCAAATCCCTATACTACGACAGTACACTACTCATGTACTGCAATGTTGATAGAAAATGGCCCGGGAAAATGGCCCCTGAAAAAAGGCCCCGGTAAAAATGGCACCAGAAGAAAAGGCCAGGTACAAATGGCCCCAAATGACAGGTACACCTTTATTGTATTGTATTATAGAAGGTACAGTATTACATAGTCACAACTTCTGCACATAAGGTGCAGATAAAAATGTTTTGGTTTTTCTATTTAAAAAAAAATATTTAGAAAACCTCATTTGACATTTTTTATCTTAGCCTCAATTTGTTCTTAATTTGTTCTTAATTTTTTAGCAGGATTAACTATAGTGTGAAAAACACTCTGACTCCATGTCCATGTGGGCTTAGCTTTTATCCAATTCAAGTAAGTCAATTACTACACACAGTGAGCCTTTGCAGAAAATCAGACTTAAGGTTCCCCTATTTGCCTAAGACTTAAATTGCATTCATTTTCTTCACTAAATTACCTAATTAGTCAACTGACAAAAAAAATTAAAAACCATGCCCATTTATTCCTGATAGTTCTAGAATACAACATTATTTTCTATAAATATATATATACCATAAATATACATTTTATTAAGCACTTCTCTTAAATACATGTCAAAAGCGCAGATCCAGAGTTTACCCTGAATAACACAGATGGGTTGCCATGGTAGGCGGGGTCATGAGAAGAGAGCTAATTTTTCTGTCGCTGGAACACATTTTAGTGTAATATGAAACCCATAAAATATTAGTACTGGCATTTATTAATGTGTCTGTGGAAAATGTAACAAATGCATAATCCATATTCATCATAGCCCTGATATTAGTTTAAAACATTTTTCAGGAGTGGATCCAGAGATGTCCAAGTTGCGTACCCGGTGAAGGCTGGTTACGACGATTTGGTGGCACATCGATTGAGTATTTTCATTCATCTGGCCATGTAAGTCAGTGGCGTATCTAGATGTCTCGAAATGGGGGGGGGGCTGATGAAGGTGAATTGAGAGAGTTTGATGATCAGTCGAGGGGCGCTAATTCGCAAAATAAGGTGATTTTAGTGATTTTTAACTGCTTGACCCGGATTTGAAACCAGTGCCAGTATCTTAGGTATGCATGTGGTTAACATACACTGTAAGCAATAATTCAGTCCAATGAAACTGTTTATCATCTTGATACCTTCCGACGAAAGTTGACCCTACCAGCGTCACCTCGGCGTCGCAACCGATCGATCTAAGGTGACGTTATATGGGTGTTTTATAGGTTATTGAGAATGGTAATATCATCGGAAAAATAGATAAAATAACAGTTGAATGACCAACCAAGACAACTGAAGACAACAGTTCGTTATTAGAAGTTTTTTAATATAACTTTATTCTGAAAATTAATCTGAAAATCGAGTTGCCGCCCCCGGCGTTGTCAGTGACGTACGATTTGTGTGCGATTTTTACCAATTAACCCCTAAGTGAAAAATAGTTGAGCCATGTAGTACCTTGCTAATCAATTCAGAAACACGGTAGTTTGTTTATTGGTAGCGTCCCTTCGCTGCCAAAAATAGTTTTTTGGCAGTTGCGTCCTCGGGCACATCGTGAGGGCGTTTTAAAGGCTGGTTACGATTTGGTGGTACATCGATTAAGTATTTTCATTCATCTGGCCATGTAAGTCAGTGGCGTAACTAGATGTCTTGAAATGGGATTTTTAACTACTTGATCGTGATTTGAAACCAGTGTCAGTATAATCTATTATAACCAATATATTAATAACTACAAGGTTTGTGGGAGTAAATTCCCTTAGGCCTAGTTCAGAATAGGTGGATAAACCCGGGTTTATAGTAACTAGGCCCTGGTGCGCAACCGTGTTTAACTTTTCTAAAGGCCTCTTCACACTTCAACGATAACGATAACGATAAAAATGCTAAAAAGCGATTGTTCATATAAAAAACAAAAGAAATAAGAGATGTTTTTACACTAGGACGATTCTATAACGATTTATCGTGTATGCAATAACAAATTATTTTAACAAATCAAATCAGATGACGTCATAATCATGGACAAACGATAAAATCCCGCTAGTCTGAATGCCCGGCAAAGTTCATTCGGACTTAACGTTGAGCCAGGCTTAACTCAAGCCTGGCTTATCTCCAAGTCTGAACGTAGCCTTAATACGAATTAAGGGTAGCACAATCTTATTGTCATACAAATTACAGCTCCCACTGATGTCTCAGTCGAGAAATACGGGTAACTGAAGTTTTTCTCGCAAATCTGACTACAAAACCATATCGAAAATTTCACATTTTACAGGCTCTGAGTTGTGCTTCGCACACGCCGCCGAGGACGGCGTTCCGGGAACCCTGCGTCCAGTGTCAATGTCAAGATAGACACATGTATGACTGAGCTGAGCGACTCCCAGTTAGTAGTAGTGGTTACGTAACGTTTGTCATGCACACTGTATCATGCGCTATAGAAATAGAAGACCATAGTGTAATGGGAATGAACCTCTCTAGTACAGTAGGGCCTACAATACAATTAGTGTAAAAGTGTAAGATTAGGCTAGTGAGGATTTAAATTAGGTCCTAATGGTAATGTTCAAAATAAAAATCAATGAACGTAAGTATGATTGTTGAAAAAATGGTCAAAATTTTATTTTTATTTCTCACCCTGATAAATAATAAAATCAATTAATTTTTGTAAACGTAAATATCTGGCGCCAATGCACTTTAGCATTCACCGACATGTCATTCAATGAAATTAAGGAAGGTTATGGGTTAGGATGTCATTGAGTGTACTATTATTTTTCACAGTTTAGCACTTTGCATTTGTTTTATTAACCGCCAGAGCAACACAAATATGGACCATGATATGTTGGCAGATGAAATTGAGAGGAGATACATAGATGAACCCTGGTAAGAAGAACATCATAATGTATAGTCATTTTTCTATCCTTATAATGTATGTACTTCATAAGGCAAACGTTATAAGGGCAACGTTAATGATGATGACGACGATGAAGAGATGATGATGATAATGATAATGATCATAGGGTGGATTTAGGGGGGCATCCCCCCCACCATTTTTGGTAAATAAAAACAAATAAATAATTGGTCACCAAAAACGCCTCAGCGGTTACTTTCGGGCATCCGAAAACAAACATTTTTTCGCGGGGGCATGCCTCTAGACCCCTATGGAAATGTTGTCTCGGTCGGCCCCACTTTTGACCATGATGACGTCACTAAAGTTAAAATTGATAGAAACATTGTGAAAGAAATTGTCCCAGCTATAACATACTCGAAGTGGTGGGAGACGATTGATCAAGAAAATGTGAGATGCGTTCAAATAAGTATAGAAATAATGACGTCTTAAATAAAAATTCAGTTTTTTTATTCAGATGGCAATATGATGATGTCACAATGTCCGATCAGCCATTATAATCTATAAAATTCTATCTGCAACTCATGTGCTTTCAGAATATGTAATAAAATTTGCAGGTCACCTTTCATTCTAAGGAGCTATAACCAAAGAACTTAAATAGCAGAAGAATGAGCTGTTCCGCGTATTTGCATTAAAATTGATGGAACATCCGCCCTCCCGCGAATGGGGTAAAACTTGAATATTTTACTAAGTGGAGAAACTACAGGAAACAAACGAACCAGAGCGGCACCTTTATTATTACTATATAGCGCCGCCACGGATGTTCCACTTTATTGGAAAGCTGCTCTATCTTCTGCTATTTATTACCTTTGCTATAACTGGTTAAAAATAGGCATGATTTTAAACATATTTAAATGTTGACGCACACGTACGCGCATGTTATGATTCCTGCACAGAAAATTAAGCTACATGACATTCAACCTTGACCTGAAGTTTATTCCCACTGAATATTAGGGAGCTTTCGATTTCACGACGACGATAGGACGTAGAACATAATGACGTCACTAAAAGTCATCCGCACATGCGAGAATGTTAAGGTCACCTCGTCGAGTAGATTCTGGAATGCAAGTGGCCAAATCTATGTATGAAGAGAACGTAGGACGTCAGGTAGGACGGTCATGCATGAGTGATTCCGTTCTAGCGTCGCGTTGTCGCACAAATCGAAAGCTCCCTATTCAGAAATGACGGCTGGTTAGGATGATATGGGGGTCATCAAAGTTTTGAGAAAAGATGAGGGGGTAAAAAAAACCCATTTATTTTCAGCATGACGACGTCATCAAAATGTAAAAAGAAGTCACATATGTGAAAGAGAATTGTCTTAGCTATAACACTCCAAGTTGGAAGATGATCGATTATGGATAAGTGAGATATGCTCAAATGCGCATTTTCAAAAAATGACGTCATAGATAAAATTAAGTTTTTTTTCATTCAGATGGCAATATGATGACGTCACAATGTCGGATGAGCCCTTATGATCTATAAAATCATATCTACAACTCATGTGCTTTCAGAATATGCAATAAAAATTGGGGGTCGCCTTTCATCCTAAGGAGTTTTAACTGATCAAAATAGGCCTGATTTTATCATATTTTTACTGTATATTGGCACAAAGCGCGTAAAGATCGCTATGTTTGATGCAGGCGTACGACATTGCTATCGGCCATAAGATGACTGAAAAGAATGACAATTAGTGAATTCATTGTTAGGAACCCAAAATATGTAAGAAAACGTAATTTATAGCTTCTGTACGTGATGCGTGCATACAAATGCGCGCGCGTAGTGGAAAAAAAATTGAAATGGTCAAAATGGTCTGAAACGTGCTCTAATTTAGTGAGTGATTTTGATTTTGAGCATTTTAAAATTTTGACGCACACGTGCACGCGTGTTATGACACGCACACAAAATATTTTGGTACATGACATTTAAACTTGACCTGAAGTTTATGCCCACTGAATATGATTTAGAAACGAAAATTAGTTACGATAATATAATTGATAATGTAAAAAAATGTAAAATTGCGCATAGATGGCATCACACATCACTGAGCACATTAAAAAGCTTATTGTGACTATTCCAGGCCAAGCCAAATGTTCGTTGAAGCTGAAATATACGTAGCTTGTGGCGATTTTGGGATATCGTGCTAACAAAGAAAGAAGAATAAAAAGATGAAGAAAAAAAAATCTTTGGTAATAACAAGGTGTGATCCGCTTAATACAAAAAACTATGGTACCAAGTAAGCACCTTTATTTTGATTTAATTTGCGAAGGACAAGCACCCACCTATAATTAAAAAAAAAAAAAAAAAATACATTCACATTTTTGCCTGTGAGTGCCATTTGCGCATGCAAGCAACTAAAAGTATCTCAGCCCCAACTATGGTGAGGGGAAAAAGCTGTGGCCTTCCACCTGTTATGGAATAATGAAATGACACCACCACATTGACAGATGAAATGACGCCACCACATTGACACAATGTCGTTGACCACGAAACTTAATGATGGTGTGATAATGGTTGTGGATTGTAGTGGCCAATGTTAATGATGATGATTTTGGTTATTACCGTAATAAAGAGTAAATTCATTCAGATTGTCGTAACAATATTTCAAAATAAGTTTACTTGTACTTTTCCAAAATAATTCTTCATCTCAGATTATCAAACACTAATTAGAAATATGGTTCAGTAAAATTGATGGCAACTGTGATAATGATTATTATTAATCATGTCTATACCGTACTCGAGCGAATAAACGCCTGGGTGCTTAAAATATTTTTTTTGCACTTTCTGAGGGGCGCTTATTCAAACGGGGCTCTTATTTAAACGGGGCGCTTATGAAAACAGAATGGAAATTGAGGGGGCGCTTATGGAAATAGATGAAAATCGAGGGGTTCTTATGGACAATTTTTAAATTCAAGAGGCACTTTTTGAATGAAAAAAGATTATATAAGGACATCACGCATGGTGGTTAGAAAATATAATCATCCAGAGAAAATGGCTCATTACAAGAATGCGTGAATATTTACATGACAGCCAAATAGCAGATGCTAGTGGTTAGCTTGTTGGCCATCGGACGATTAAGATTAGCAGGATGGCAGGATCATTGTATTTTTTCTTGAAAACTAGGTGGGAATGTGCAAGAGAAATATCCTCATTTTGATATTGACTGAAGAAGAATGTGTTTCCACTCTACAGCTCAAATCATACCAACAACCACAGTCCAAGTATTGATTGGATTATTGACTTGCTAAAAAGAAAATCTTATGAGGGGCGCTTATTCAAATTAGAAGGGGGTGCTTATTCAAACGGGGCGCTTAAGGAAATTTTTACCTTAGGAGGGGCGGTAATTCGAGAGGGGCACTTATTCAAACGTGGTGCTTATTTGCGCGAGTACGGTAATTTGCTGAAGACAATTTATATTTTACATTTTTATCACGTTTATACACTAGTTTACGTTTACATTTTATCCAGGCAAGTTGGGCCAAGCAATACCTGGGATAAGAGCATTAAACAAACGTCACACCGACTTGTAGAAGTGTCAAAAAATGATGAATATAAGCATATACAGAAACTGTTCAACAAGACACTTCCGGAAGGAAATATAATAAAACTCGAACGGGTTGAAAATTATAATTGTCGGGCTGCATATGGACGGTAAAATGGGTTTCTTTTTATTTTTAATGGCAATCAAAATAGTTGTGTTTTAGTAACAACTTCTCAATTTTTCAAACATTGTTTTAGTTACTCATAACTTTTATTGAAATGATTTTTTTTCTCTTTAATTACATTTATTTCAGAGTTAGAAATCAATATTTAAATCAAACGCTATTATGATTAAAACAAATTATTTAAAATAGATAGGATGGAAATGTGATGGTCACTTTCCAATATTAATTCCGTGGTTTATTTTTAGCAAAGTGTGTCACGATTTTCCCTCACAAGTCCTTCACATTTTTACTCACAAGTAAAAAGCTAATTAAAGATAGTGGTTCCAGTGATATAAGTCGACGGGATGTAACAATTCCATTGTTATAGTTGTTTGCACCCAATTGGTTAGTAATAACAATATTATTTTTTTGTTTCTCGAAGGCGAAAAGAAATAATGATTAAAACGAATTGCTTTGACGAACGTCAACTTTTTCATGGTACTGAAGAAGAAAATGTTGATGACATTTGCCGAGAAAATTTCGATTTCCGTCTGAGTGGGAAGCGAATTGGTGCTAAATATGGTAACGGAGCATATTTCGCACGAAACGCTAAGTATGCTAATGACTACGCAGAAGCCGATGATCACAACATAAAAAAGATGTTTGTAGCACGAGTTATGGTCGGTAGGTACACCCGTGGAACACAGGGCATTCGAAGACCGCCATATAAAGATCCTGAGAATAAATCAAGAGGAATGTATGATTCTTGCGTTGACAACACAAGTGATCCAAATATCTTTGTGTTATTTGATAACCATCAAGTATATCCAGAATACCTGATCACATATTCAACCGCCAGTGTCAATCAAACATCCTATAGTAATAGCAACCAGCAATCCTCCCCAAACACTTATTCCAGGCAGTCATTAAACGCCAATCAAACTTCTCATAGTAGAAGCAACCAACAACAGTCACCAAACAAGATTAACCCATTGCCTTCCAGGCAATCTAAAAGAAGTGTGGTGGGTGTCTATCAAACATCTTATTATAGTAATAGCAACCAGCAATCCTCCCCAAACACTTATTCCAGGCAGTCATTAAGCGCCAATCAAACTTCTCATAATAGAAGCAACCAACAACCGTCACCAAACCAGATTAACCCATTGCCTTCCAGGCAATCTAAAAGAAGTGTGGTTGGTGCCAATCAAACAGCTTATAGTAGTAGCAACCAGCAATCCTTCCCAAACACTTATTCCAGGCAGTCATTAAGCGCCAATCAAACTTCTCATAGTAGAAGCAACCAACAACAGTCACCAAACCAGATTAACCCATTGCCTTCCAGGCAATCTAAAAGAAGTGTGGTTGGTGCCAATCAAACAGCTTATAGTAGTAGCAACCAACAGTCATCGAATCAGATTAACTCATTACCTGACTGGTTAAGACAACTATATCAGTCTTCTGTGCAATCTATAAGAAGTGTAGTTGGTGCCATTCAAACAGCTTATAGTAATAGCAACCAGCAATCCGCAAACCCTGCTAGTAATGTCAACCAACAATCTCCAAATACTTATAACACTTGGCCTTCCATACAGTCAATAAAAAGTGCACTGGATAACATTAATAATGATAATTTTACAGAATTAGAAATATTTTCATTGTTTTTATTATTCATGACATCAGTTTCATTATTACTAACCTACACCCCTTCTTATGTTTTTTTTATCTATCTATTGTTTTGTTTCGTATCTATTGTACGGCCACCCAACGTGATCTATTGGATGAATGTTTGGTGGAGGTGTGTGTATAGGAAGGAAATATGCCTAATAGTCATTTTATCATTATTGTTATTATTATCATTAGTATCACAATTATTTACAGATTGGGTTCCAATTTTGTCGTCAGTTTGTTATAATAATTTTGACATGTATATACTGTTTTCCCTCTTTATATCCGCCAAGATGTATGTAAATGAGATGGAAATTGATGTCAAATCTGTGTGTCAATTTGTATTATTATCAGAATTATTTATAGTATTATTGTTACCAGTAATTCTGTTATTTCTATATTTATTAGAAGTATTAATTTTATTTTGTTACAATCATTTTGTTATATTGTATCTAATGATTTCCACTGTGATATTTGTTAATATATATGCAAATAAGAATATGGATGTTAAATATAAATATAAGTGTGGCTTAATATCACAATTATTCATTTTATTTATGTTACTAATATTACCATTATTTCTTTATATAATACAAAAATTACTATTATGTCGCTATAATATGCTTGTTATGTATGTAGGTTTACTGTTTTTTATTTTTATATACGCCAGCATCTATGAATACAAAATGAATATAAAGGACGGGCATGTGTGTAAGTGGGTAATAATATCAGAATTGTTAATACTGTCATTGTTCCCAGTATTGCAATTAATTATATATATTTCGCAGATATTAGTATATATTTTTCTCATTTTATTTATATTGGTTTCCATTATCATACCGACCCTGATCTTAAATCTGCTATGAAAATATGTAATAATTATCATTTTACAGTAAAAACTTTCGAAAAGCAACTGCCGACACAGAATTATTAGATTTTAAATATTTCGCCCATTTCTAGATGGCGGGAAATGAGCTTTCTTGACTTCTGAAATTTCATTTATAAATGACTTTTTAAATTCTTCAAAATTCAAAGTTTTCCCCTCTTGAAAACGGTCAGGTAAATTTTTCTCATTTTTTATTTTATGTGTGTATACACATAAACAAATGAGTAGTTGCATGCGTATTCTTTTTTCCACGAATCGATAAATCCCAACAAGAAAGGGTGGTCCGGGGGTTCTCCCCTTGGAAAATTGTGATTCCTACAGTAGATGGCGGGAAATGAGCTTTTTCGACATTTGAATTGTGTTTTAATGACTTTTATGTTCTTCAAAATTCTAATTTTCTTAAGTGTCCCATCCTTCTCCTCCTTCTTCCCTCTTTCTTTTCTTGCCTTTCTATCCGATTATACAAAAATCTCCAGACATTATATATTTCCGCCGGCCATGATTGTAATAACTTTGTAACATTGTAATAACTTCATAACAATCAAGCTGTCGCACTTTGTAATAACTGCCTGTCACGCTTTGTAATAACTGAACTGTCGCACTTTGTACTAAAATCTGTCGCACCAGGGACCCTGGTCACAATTTGTAATATTATCTTGTTTCATTTATTACCGTAAGTTATAACTCTTAATTTAATTAAAAATAATATTGTAGAATGTTGCATATTATGGATGACTAATACTACAAGGCCAAGGTCATATACAAGTTTTACTAACAATTTGGACTATAATTTCTTGGTGCCTTACTGCGTTGTATGTAATCCCAAATCAACAAATGTAAGATATTTTTTCCTCGCGCGCGTGCGTGATACTACAAGGTCAAGTTCATATACTAGTTTTACTAATAATTGGGATTGTAATTACGGTGTTTAAATTTCAAAACAAGATGGATTACTGCGTTATACGTAGTTTCAAATCAACAAATGTTGTGACACAGATCCAATACACGATCTGTGGTTGTGAGATTGATTTTTGTTGCGCACATGCAGGTCAATGTTAAATACAAATGCTACTATATTTGCCGTCCACAGACGAGTCAACCAAAGTTGTCTCCAGTCATCTCGGTTCACCATACAATTGGCATTCCACAGTACTAGTATATGGTGTTTATAAATTTAAAACCCGGTTGCTTACGGCGGTTGTATGTAATCCCAAATCTAAGTTTGTCTCCCGTTGCTCGCGTGCATGGTACAGTGTCAAGGGCATATGCAAGTTTTACTCATAATTAAGATTATAATTTTAAAACTCGGCGGCAATACTGTAACATAATTAAATGAAACAAGTTATTACAAAGTGCGACAGTTTGATTGTTACAAAGTGCGACAGGTTATTACAAAGTACGACAATTTTGTTACTAAGTGCGACAGGTATTACAAAATGCACGTTGTTCACCTTTTAGTGTATTTCATGGTGGCCGCTTCCCATCGTTTTGTAACATCAGGACATACTAAACGAAAGTAAACCTCAACCGATTACCATTGCTTTATATTTTTTTGACATGTGAACCCACAATGTTATTTTTGTACTTTATTACTGGCACATTATGATACTTTTATGATTATTAGCTGATGATACCAATTTATTTCATGATTTTTCGGGAAACCATATTGATCTATTTGTAACCATAATTTTCAACATGTTATTGAATGGTGTAAGGCAAATAAATTAAATATTAACGTACGTAAAACGGATTATGTTATCCTTCATAAGTAGTAAACAGGTCTCTAGCATTGGTAATTTTTAAAGGATAAGCAACTTAAAAAACCCGAAGAGGTAATGTTTGTAGGCGTAAAAATTGATCATATTAACGACGTTGACAAAAATATTAAAATGAAAGCCGGTATTTTATATAGATTAGAAATACGTTCTACCAACAAATACTGTATTTTAATTTTATTACAGTATATAAAAATATAATTCAACCAATCATTGTCAAAAAATGTAAAACACATCTATTGTTATCACAACATTGTGATTAAAGCTGGCTCACCCTATTTTTTCCGTTTGTCTGTAATGTTATTTACGCTATTAGTTAATTATTATAATTATTATTATAATTATTATTATCGTTATTATTCTTTATTATTATTATTATTATTATTATTATTATTATTATTATTATTGTTGTTGTTCTTATGCTACTGTTCTTGTTACTGTTCTAATACTGTCTATTATGAATTGCTTATCATTAACAGAAATTCGTTCGTACTGTATTTGTGTTGGAATAATTGGATGAAACCTTGACTAGCGTAAGCTATTTGTTTCAATCCATTTTTGCATTGACGACATGAACTTGAATGGATGAATATCACATTAACATACTGTTGAAAGTATAAGTAAACTATACGAGTAGGCCTATTTTTGCTGGTAAAAAGAGCCATAATTTGTGAAACATGGAATCTCTGTGACTGTGACTTGCAAAGAATTACATAATTGACCTAACAAGGGCCTCGAATTAATAATGTTTCATTCTTAATTCTTGATGCGTGTAGTATGACACCTTTGATAGCGATAGTTGCTTTTGTTTTTTTATATTTTAAACATGAACTTTGATGTTTTGTATTTTTGTATTCCTCTTTTCTATATTGGGGTTATTTTATGAATAAAATGAAATTGTAGGCAAGTACTGTGCAAAAACGTAAACAATTAATTTCAAACATTTAATTGCTGAGTAGGTAGGCCTACCCTAATCACGATATTGGGTGGATCCTTTTTAGTCATATCAATTATACGGTGACGTAACATGGGATTGACTGCACCTATTCGATTTATTACGTTTTACAACACACCTATATAGACCTTGTCATTTGATTGGATGTCTTATCCCGTAAAATTGGTTATTTACACCATTTCGTCACCAAGGTGAAATAAGGTCCATCAATGCATTGTTCCTTCCATTCCTTCTGTCCCATTGCATGCCGAATACTGTACAATGTTTTCATTTGTTGAAGGATGACTGTTTTTTTTAATTTTTTTTTCGTTTATTAGGCTTACCAATTACTGTATTGCTAGTTGTTTATGTTCTACTGACTGGAAGAAAAGTAAGAATAATTTAGATTTTTCATTAAAAAAAAATTATCAAATGACAATGATCTACTTTAGGGGTGTTATAAAACGAATAATGAATGTTTTGTATTCGAGTAATGGAAAGAATATTTTCATTAGTTGAAAGATTGTTTTATTCAAGTCAGCTCCACCTCATTAAATAGAAGGAGATAACTCTATTGAATTGTGTAACACTGTATATTGAATTGTATAATTAAACTTGATTTGTGTAATTGATTTATACAGTATATAATTGGCAGTTCTCATTGTAGTTTGTGATCTTGTAATATATTCTGTAGTGCTTTTTTCAGTCCATTGTGATAGTTTGTGTAAGTTTGTTTTTTATTCTGTAATTAAATGTTTTTTATTTTGTAATTAATCAGACTAATTCATTTTATTATGCAATGTAATGGCATAAAAATATACAATATATCACTAAAGCTGTCCACATAATCAAGTTTAGTGTATACTTGTGATTTAATAATAATATGTCGTTCTTATATAGCGCTTAATGCCTTAACAAAGCCTCTAAGCGCTTTACATTATTGACTATAGAAAGTTTGAAAATATCCATGCGGATCTAGCTGGATACTCAATATCAGGGGGAACTATCCCACCCAATATTCTTGTAACCAATAAAAAACCCAATATCACTATTGTCAATAATAAATGTATCAAACTATATGAACTTACTGTACCACTGGAACCCAATATTCTCAAGGCTAATGAACGAAAATCATCTAAATATGTGGAACTTGTTGGGGATATCCAAGCTAAGGGGTACCAATGCAAATTAGTATGTTTGGAAATAGGAAGTAGGGGGGTTATATCAAAGGAAAATGAAATGCGCCTTAAATTAATGTCTAAGTTAAATTCATCTCAATTTAAGAATTTGAAAAAAACTTTATGTAATACGGCTCTGGCATGTAGTTATACAATATGGAATGCCAGGTTTAATCAAATATGGGATAATTGTAAATTTTTGGAGTAAGTTGATGAAATTCCTTTTTGTTCTCGTTGCTTTTCTTTTGTCCTGCCTCGTTTGAATTCCAAACTTGGACCTGGAATGAATGTATACTTTCTTTTGTGAAATTTTAAAGACAATTCCATTGTTCTTAATATCCAGAAATCCAAAAAATTCTCTAAACGTATTGTTAAGGCTTTTCTTGCATATAACAAA